GGGTGTGTCACCCTTATCATTTAGGGGTTTGAAAAATAGATGTTGGCCGATTCTCAGGCCTAGCCGATATGCACACAAAATTTCATACAAATCGGTTCAGCCGTTTCGGACTTTCGGAGGAGTTTGGTAACAAACACCGCGACACGAGAATTTTATATACATATTAGATTGACAACAGGACCAAATCAACAAAAATCGCAGGAATATTGCAATAAATATAGTTATTTTAAGCTCAGTGTAATAATGCACTCAGTGTAATGAATTATTATCTTACTATTTTATATACTTGTCTTACTTAACGGAATATCGCTATAATATGTACCAACTACAGTAACATTCGTATAATTTAAACCATTGACGCCAAAATAGCAGTGATTATCTACGGCACGCACCCTGTAGTTAATTATGGTAAAGCTGTTAGAATGTGGAATTCAGGAAATCTTGTTTGGCCGAGTCAGGAGTCACGAATTACCGTTACCGTTACAGCCTATTAAAATCCACTGCTGAACATACGCCTCCTCCATAGATTGCCACATAATATATAATTTCATTTCATTATCATTTCAAATATTTGCCACGCTTGGCAACCAGAGTTTATTTTTTATTTTTAGTCGTTATTGGGAAGACGCTTGCCCATCTCGTGATTTGTTTCCCTCTGTCGCCTCTTACGACACCCACGGGATGATATGAGGAATCACATTTTATCTAGTTTCATCCATTTAATGTAGTGTTTTAAAAGTATGTTCAATTTCTCCTATTGCTCTTATACCAGATGGAAGTTAGTGTAGAACATTCTTTTTTTTAACTAAACTGTATGCCAGTTGATTGCTCCATAAATGCTCCAGCAGAACCCGAAATTGCTCCACCTCTATTGTTATTAGTTAATTTATAATTAATTTTTAAAAAATTTAAGTATCGAAAATTTAATTTTGCTATAAAATATAAAATATCCACTTTTTAAAATTAAACTGTATGCCAATTAATTGATGCTTAAATGCTCCAGCAGAATCTGAAATTGCTCCACGTCTATTGTTATTAGTTAATTTAAAATTAATTTTTAAAAAATTTAAGTATCGAAAATTTAATTTTGCTATAAAATATAAAATATCCACTTTTTAAAATTAAACTGTATGCCAATTAATTGCTGCTTAAATGCTCCAGCAGAATCTGAAATTGCTCCACGTCTATTGTTATTAGTTAATTTAAAATTAATTTCTAAAAAATTTAAGTATTGAAGATTTAATTTTGCTATAAAATATAAAATATGTACTTTTTAAAATTAAACCGTATGCTAATTAATTGCTCCTTAAATGGTCCAGCAGAATCCGAAATGGCTCCATCTCTATTTTTATTACTTAATTTATAATTAATTTAAAAAAATTAAGTATCGAATATTTTATTATGCTATAAAACATAAAATATATTTTTTTTAAATTAAACTGTATGTCAATTGATTGCTACTTAAATGCTCCAGCAGAATCCGAAATTACTTTACCTCTACTGCTATTAATTAATTTATAAATAATTTTTAAAACATTTAGGTATCGAAAATTTAATTTCGCTATAAAACATAAAATATCTACTTTTCAAAATTAATCTGTGAGCCAATTAATTGGTCCTTTATTGCTCCAGTAGTATTCGAAATTGCTCTACCTCTATTGCTATTAAATAATTTATAAATAATTTTTAAAACAATTAGGTATCGAAAATTTAATTTTGCTATAAAACATAAAATATCTACTTTTTAAAATTAAACTGTATGACAATTAATTGCTCCTTAAATGCTCCAGTAGAATCCGTAATTTTTCTGTCTTTTGCTATTAGTTAATTTATAATTAATTTTGAGATAGAGTGATCCTATTTGAGTAATAGCGCCATCATCAATAGAATGTAGTAACATTCTATAGTTAAAGTCATTTTATCGAACAAATATTGATTGACCCTCAACGTGGTACGTCGAATAGATGCCTAATGGCATAAAACCAAAAAAAGTATTGATGGGTGAGTTTTGAAATTTTGGATTCTTATGAATGGATTAAACAACAATGTTAATAATATTTTTGTGTTTATGCCATCTAGAGTCATTTCTACGTAGCACCTTGAGGGTCAATCAATTTTTGTTCGATAAAATGACTTTAACTATAGAATGTTACTACATTCTATTGATGATGGCGCTATTACTCAAATAGGATCACTCTATCTCAAAATCAATTATAAATTAACTAATAACAATAGAGGTGGAGCAATTCCGGATTCTGCTGGAGCATTTATGGAGCAATTAATTGGCATACAGTTTAGTTAAAAAAAATAATGTTCTACGCTAACTTCCATCTGGTTGCTCTTATACATATATTTAAAAATGCGTTCCATACTCGACCTTATTCTTTATATTAAAACTAGCTGTTACGCGCCGCGTTGAAGCCACAGAAGAAATAATTGCGGAAACATCGTTTTAAATTTGTAAGAAGAGTTTTTGGGAATGATAAGAAGTTGAATGATATATAATTTTCATATAAAATTGTCGGTAATATACGCACACCACCTACTGTAAATGAATTGTACTATGCCTATAACCTTCGCGGAAGTTATAGGCATAGTACAAATTAGAAGTGCCAGCAATATGGTGGCAAAGTTTAACCACAATCTGATGAACAGTATGGCAGAGCATAAAATACGACCTAGCAAACATCGATGACAAACGAGCTAAGTTCGCCTAATAATAGATGTCTACAAACAGCATGCAGATGCGCTTTCACACCTTACCACTCGTGTAGTGGCAGTGTTAGAATATCCACTACCCCATATCATCCCGTGGGTGTAAGAGACGACAGACGGAAACATATTACGAGATGGGCAATAGCGTATTTCTATACGTGGTAGAGCCATGCTGCAGCTATATTAGTAGTATAGTTGTAGCACGAATGGGTCGGCTCGGCCGGGGAAGGACCACGCTCTCACAGAATACCAGCGTAAAATAGCAGCTTAACACTACTGTGATTCGTATGGTGAGTGTAGAGAACCGGAGACCCTTTTTACTGGAAAAGAGGCATTCCATCTTAGTCCTCACGGGTGACAATGCATCTGCATTTTGATTCGCAAACGAGGATAGCTGTAGATGTCTATGGGCCACAGCAACCACTTAACATCAGGTGGACTGTGTGCTCGTTTGTCATCCTATCCTATAAAAAAACAAAGCGTCTTCCTAATAACGACTAAAAATAAAAAATGCGGTTGCCAACCCGCTTGTCAAGCGTAATAGCTATGGCAAATATCGCCCTATGATGTAATCTATGGCGAAAGCCTATTATATGTCGAGCAGTGGACTTCAATAGACTAACTAGGTTAACGGTAACGTTAACGTCTTTCATCCTTTAAGATGAAAATGGAATATCTCAAAGCTTGTTATTATACTCTTGTCCTTTCCACCGGAACACAACAATAGGTACACTGATGCTTAGCCGTTGCAGCAAGGTGCAGAAAGGTGTTACCTAACTAAACATGTTCCTAACCAGTACGACTAACGTTAAATTATTATGATTCTGACCCACGATAGTCATAGGAAGCGCCAAGGTAACGTTATTTTTCTATTATCTTTAATCTAGTTAGTTAGTTCTCACAGAAACGGGGAGGTTTCAGAGTAAGGAAGTATATGCACGCATTACTATAGAAGGATAGTAATGCGTGTTGGCACACTTCACATGTCTTCGAAATATTTTATTTGAATTTCTCGAACGTAACCAGTATTTCCGAGAAAATTAAATCCTCACTCAACACGCTGTGTTTCTTCACTGACGAGAACGTGGTACATGAGCACTTAAAATTGCAACTAACAATGTCATTGGTAATGGCAACGAGTACCTTTGACATTTTCAACGAGTGCTTAGTCCCTGAGCTACCATGGCTCTATCAGCCAAGACCTTTTATTAACAAATCGATTAAATTTGAACCCTGGTAGCTTGGGCGTCGTGCGCTTTTCTTAATGCTCAAATGTTCGAGCAACTGATTTTTATGTACGGTGTTGGTACCGTGAAAATTATTGCAAGAAACAGTGCTTTATAAATTGTAAGCGCATATAAGTGTGCTCCTAAATGAAATAGTTTTAATTTGTGTTATTTTTAATTGAATAGCCGTAGCACAATAATAGATAGGGGCTGACCTTAAAATTATACAGTATACAAGCAAACCGGGCTTGATCATTGCCAGCATCAATGAAATTGGTATGAGCAAATTTTAATTGAAGTAAAACGTGCCAAAACTTGCATATGTGTGAAAAATTAAAAAAAATCGAGAGAGTGTGAAGTCTGCCAACATCCATTAAGGATCTTAAAAAAATTGAGGTATTATTCAGTTTTTTAAGATAAAATTATTGTTAGGTACATGATAAGATGAAAAATTTAACGACTCAACTGCAGAAACAGAATTTATAAAAAACTTAAATTATGTACCTAATTATATCAATTACTTTCTATACATAATCCAACCATATTCGACAATAAATTAAAATCTCATTTTTCTATTAATGTACTATTATATGACTTGAAAATTTTATATTTTTTTTATAGTCCACCTGATGGTAAATGAATGCTGTGTGTTTACGAATCAAAATGCAGATGCGTTGTCAGCCGTGAAGACTGAGATGGATTGCCACCAATAACAAAATTGTTAGTTGTAATTTTAAGTGCTTATTTACCACGTTGAGCACAGTGAAGGAAAAACATATGAGGAAATCTGCGTGTCTTTGAACTTAAAAATATTTTGAGGATATCTGAATGATTGTCCGTCATCATGCTTGCGGCATGAAGCGGCGTGGCAGAATCTTCTCTGTCTCAAAAACGATCTCGAAAATAAAAGACATGTGTTCAACAGTGAGGCGTATATATTATATATTATAGGCTATTAGTTTTCTTTTAACTTTACATTGTATACAATGTATATAAATGTTGTAAAAATGATTTGACAAAAAAGATAATCAAATTAATGATTTTGTTTCAAATTTACAGATAGAACTAAAACAGCAGCTTTAACAATATGGATGGCTATGATGGGGCTTACACGGCCGCAATCAGTGCCCGCTGACAACGAGACGCCTCCCTTCAGTACACTCTACAAGTGGAAGACCATCGACTTTGAGTTCCCGAGCTTGCAACACCGACGACAAGCTCTTCTTACAGGGTACCTACTTTTTTCCTATACATTGCTTGTTATCGTCAGCCTTTGCCCATATAATAAACACGTATTATTAATTTACTTCTGGCTTAAGAGGATTGTGAAGCTGTAAATTTTCATACAAAAAGCGATAACGTTTCCTCCCCCCCCCCCCCCCCCCCGTAAATATAGTCCAATTTTAATAATTTTTGGAAATGTTGTAGATATGACAAACAACTAGGCCCGTACGTTTTAATTTTAAAGAAATATTGTATACAATATAAGTTATTAGCATCTAAATATCTATATTTTTGACTTAAAAACTTGCTCGAGCGTTTTTATTTTTTTTAATTAAACTATATTGATTACTAAAAAAGTAAAATGTACAGGCCTAGATTAAAGTGTACTGAATCTAATAAGACCAAAATTGTCTTATTTTGTAAAGTTTTAGGGGGGTAAAAACGTTATCGCCGGAAACAATATTTCAAAAAGAAAATGTAGGCAATTGCCTTCAAGACTTGTAACTCTCTCTATCGCACGATACGGGTCGAGGGGCAGGGGCATATTGTAGTGATGTTAGGAGTGCTGAAGCCGTGGTAGCTGAGATGATTAGCGCTCGCTATAAGTTTCACAGTAGGTATGCGAGAAACCCGGGTTCGATCCCCGCCGGCACCAATGAAATTGTTAATTGCAATTATAAGTGCTGATACCACGTCCTCGGCGGTGAAGGAAAACATCGTGAGGAAACCTGCATGTCTGACAGATAAGAAAAATAAATATATTTCGAAGACATGTGAAGTTCGCCAACACGCATTGGGGCAGCGCGGCGGAACTTTCCTTGCCCTAAAACCCTCTCAGAAATGAGAGGAGGCCTGTGCCCAGCAGTGGGACGTGTATATAGGCTGTAACTTTTAGAGGTGTTATCGATATTATTATCGCCTAAGGAGGAGAAAATAATATCGATAACCTAGAAAGATAATACCTCTCATGAAAAAGTTAATGTCTGTTATTATTCAGTGTTTATCGATTATTTAGTTATTAATTTAGTCTTTATTGAATAAGGATATTAAATTAAAAATATTTCGAGTTTACAATAAAGTAGGTACGCAAATAAATAAAAAGTAACAACTTGAAGAAATTATTATTGTTTATTATTACATATTACTTTATATGTATTACACTCTTTCTCGAACTGCCATTTCTCTAGGAACTCGAGGGTCAATAATTTCTGGTAATAAACATTAAAAATGAAATGAGAGTAAAGTCTTGGCTGCATTTTTGCTGCCTAAAAGTGATCATAGTATTTATTTTTTTCCTACGCCGAACTACATGGTTTATTAAACTAAGTACGAAAACATGAAAAAGTTGTGTCCATACTACGAAAAAACAAAATTGCCTACCAGTGATATGTAATTATCCCTGGACCTGATAATAGTAATCATGGTTTCATTTTTCTTTTTGTCCTCGTATCAAACAAAATTTGATCTGTTTTTAGTTATGGCCTCCAAAAGTAGCATATTAGAATCAGAAATAAGACATTTTCATTATACATTAGAGAATACATTTAGAGAATCATGTCCAATAAGCCCATCGGGAGTTGTCCCTAAATAATAATCTTCGGAATCAATAAACAGTCCACATTCCCAAACTTTTAGATTATGTTTCCTAATCTTGATTCTTAGCAAAATGTTAAATTAATGAAATTGCAATCGAAATATTTTTTTTATTTGCTAAATGATTTGTTTCTACAATTCTTCACCCATACAGCTTATCTGACTCAATCTTGACTAACTCGAAGACGGTGATGTAATATATATATATATATATATATATATATATATATATATATATATATATATTATTTTTGAGTCTCTTTGTCAGATTCGATCTTTGCACATTACTGTCTGGTAATTATTTGTCTATCTCGGAATCACTGAAAAATAAATAGAAGCATAATAGTTTAAATTATATTTTATGGCTAACTAACGCGGGCGAAGTCGTGGGTGAAAAGTTAGTTTAACTATATAATTCGGTTCATCGTTTAAATTTCTGTGAGAGCGTAGTCGTTCCCCGGTCGAGCCTACCCACTCGTGCTACAACTATACTCCTAATATAGCTGTAGCATGGCTATACCACGTATAAAAATTTTACTAATCAAATCTTTGTATATCGAGAATTTTAGCATTTTCCTTGGAATCATCGGAATTCCACAGTAACAGTGATACGAACAACTTCTTCTAAAGGACTAATATTAGATATTACTGGACAAGTGGTAAAATTAAAATTTTGTACCACCGATTCCAATAAAACTCAATTACAACATAATATATGTAATGGTTGAAATGATTTCCATAAAATTAGTATGAGACCAACTGTGAACAAGAAAAGAATAGGTGAGTATTCAAAATCGGCCAGTAGAAATCGGTGAACATACATAAAAATAAAACAAATATACATACAGCCAAATATAAAACCCCCGTTTTTTGAAGTCAAATCAACATCAGCTATCCCATACTTTTATATTTTGTGGAATAAATTTCGGTCTATCTCCTACCAATCAATCAATGTACATACAATAGTATGTAAGGTGGTAAGGTACGCGACCAAAGTAAGTATAATTTATTATAAGTAAGTAAGTACGCCTACTTATCTGTTGAGCACAGAGCTGTTGATTTTAGAAGTTAGTTGCCCGTCCATTCGTTTTACGAAGCAAATTGCATTTTTTAGTTTTGTCTCGAATCTTTCTCTTCTATTCTAAAATGTATAAAATTATTTTAGTTGAATGAATGTAATACTCATCTCATAATCACTCACAGTATATAGGTACCTAGATACTTACATAAAAAATAACAGCACACTTCTATATGGTATATGTAGTAAGTCCCCACGTTTACATAGACTATGCAATATAATAAAATTGCAAAGTAACACAAACAAATTCATTATGTAACTTGTCATAAACGTACGCAAATATAGGCTATGAATGAATGAACGCTCCTGTTGCTGGTTTCGTAGTATGCGTGAGAATTACTGTAATATATTGTATTTGTATTGTTCACGCCCGGAGCCCGGCGGGTGGCAGAGCGTGCGTTATGAAACAGATAGCATTTTTGAAAATACCTACTCGCGTCGCGTATCGGCACTTCACAATCCTCTTAACGAAGTGGAGGTAGTGCCAGCTATCGGAGCTCATACATTCTTTTGGATATTTTCTTCAATATCCATTTCAACTTACTCCAATATCAATTTACAATACTTATGGCGCGAGGCATAGTAATGGTCTTACTTATGCTATCACCACACGGCACCGTTTCAGGTTTTCTACACTCACCATACGAAACACAGCAGATAAGCTACTCGTATTTTACGCTGGTATTCTGTGAGAATGTGGTGCTTCCCCGGTCGAGCGGACTTATTCGTGCTACAACCATGATATAGCTGCAGCTTGGCTCTACCACGTAAAAAACAAGTAACTAAAGGCTCGTAAGTTGGTATTTTTCGCAGGTATTCTGTGAGAGCGTGGTCCTTCCCCGGTCGAGCCGACTCATTCGTGCTACAACGACAAAAGAGACAAGTAACTTACTAAAGGCTCGATGATAATTCCAGTCTGGGTATGATTTAAGAAGTGGAGTCGCCAGATCATAGACAGAGTACACTTCTAGGGCAGAGTATTCATCATAGGGCTTCTTACGAGAACTCGAACGATTAGTTTGGCATAAGTTTGAATTCGGATAAGAATATACAAGGACTCTCGACCTAAACTGATGACGTCAAATGAGCTTTTGACCTCTGTATTGCCTGTATTGATATTGTATTGTATTGTAACAAGCATTGGAATTAATCTATAAAATTATTTTTTTAGGAGTTATATTCCTTCGAACGTACTACCGCTTGGTCTGGAGGTGTGGGGTTCAAGAGTATGGGTGACGCTACCCAGCTGGCGGAAAGGTGTGCCAGCCACGCTCGCTACTGTGCCGCGCGGTGGAGGTGTGGCGTCTCCGCTCCTTATACCATACCCAGACTGGAATTATCATCGAGCCTTTAGTAAGTTACTTAATGTCTTTTTACGTGGTAGAGCCAAGCTGCAGCTATATCATGGTTGTAGCACAAATGGGCCGGTTCGACCGGGGACGGAACACGCCCTCACAGAATAGCAGCTTAATGCTGCTGTGTTTTGTATGGTGAGTGTAGAGAAACGGAGACCCTTTATACTGGAAATGAGGCATTTCATCTTAGTCCTCAGGGGTGACAAAGCATCTGGATTTTGACTCTTAGACGTAGATGTCTATGGGCCACAGCATCCACTTACCATCAGGTGGAATGTGTGCTCGTTTTTAAAAAAAAATATCTTACCTTCTACTTGCTTTACCCGGTTTGGAAGTTTATTCAAATCTGGTATTTGCATTAATGCACCAGCACGCCACGGCGTTTTAACAACGCATTCTATATATTTTTTTATGATAAATATAAATAAAAACATAGATTTGTTCAGTATGAAAAAACTTTTCCCATAGTGCTCCTCCACATTCATGAAGCGACATGAAGTGAAGAATGTTCTTACGCCGCCATACACATTTATTCATTATTTTCATTCATTAAATCCCATCAAAGTCCACTGCTGAATATAGGCGTCCCCATAAGGAGCGTTTTTACCATTGTTGCCACGCCTGGCATTTTCATTCCATAACACGTTCGCGTGAGCAACGTTTGATAGAATTATGAAATAGCTCGACGTCTTAGGACTCTAGATTATCATATTTATTTCCGCGGATGAACGTTGTGTCGTTTAGTATGGTATATCGGACCTGCGCGGTGGCGGCAACGTTTATAAACGTCGGACGTGAAGAAACGTTGTGCCACATAACATAGTTCTAAGACATACGTATTACGGCGGAACGTCTTTTGACATTGCTTAACTTTGTATGGGAAAAAAGTGCGCCTCAGTACAAACATTTAGAGATGAGGTTGCTCACGCGAACGTGTTAAAGTCATCAAAGTCCACTGCTGAATATAGTTGTCCCCATAAGGAGTATATATACCATAGTTGCCATGCCTCGCATTTTCATTCATTAAAGGTGGGCGGGTAACAACCACAGTTTTTCTATTTTCTAGTTGCTATTAGGAAGACGCTGTAGCCAATTTCCTCGTTTGGATTTGGAGTAATGGATATTCTTACACGGGCACTACGTGTCATTACACTAATTCAAAATAATATGGTTGTCACTATTTAGGAAATACTATACGAATCCATCTCGTCGTGGCTCTACGACCATCATAATTATTTTCGGAATAAATCCAATTTCCATATACAGGGTTATTTTTCAAAGAGTAGCAAAATTTTAAACTTAAGTTCAAATGTATAAATAATGATATACCATTATTGCAGTTTTTGAAAATACAAATAAATAAAGCTTCTACTTTTATTTGAAAGTATCCCAAATTGAATGTGATTTATGGGTAACAACGTTTTTTCTACCGATCGACCCTTACGAATGTGTGCGTGCGCAGTAAAATCGGTCAAAATAATGCATTACCGCGCATTTTTAATTTCAAAGATAAAATGACAGAATATTTGACATTTTTTAAATTAATTTTTCTTCACCATTTGGCTATATTACTTTACTTACTAGCTGCCCCGGCAGACGTTATTCTGCCTGTCTCTATATCTATACTGCTATTTTCACACACACACTTTTCTGTAGACTTATTATACGTATAGCTAAATCCTCTTTAGGACTAAAAAATGGAAAGCATAACCCTTTCTTTTTCTCTTCCGTAAGCGGATAATAAATTGCATATATATTAAACACGGTTATTTACTGTCTACATACAAAATTTCATGAAAATCTGTCCAGTAGTTTTTGCGTGAATCGTGAACACACAATTTTTCTACAGATTCATTATATGTATAGATACAGATTTTGAACCTTGGCCTGTTATTGCAAAAACCCTGTATATTTATTAAATACAATCTAATTATATGTATAATTTTCAGTATAACTTTTCGTTATGAAATAATGAAAAATAGGATATTAATTGAAGTTTTTCATTAATTTCAGGTGACGACAATAACTGTTCAGGGCTGACATCCGTATTCCGCGTGAACGCTGACCAATGCGGAAGACTATGGGTACTTGACTCTGGGCAAATAAATTCTCAAGACAATCCAAAACAAATATGTCCACCCAGCGTAGTAGTGTTTGACCTTCAAACAGATTCTATGATTGCGAGGTATCCCATTCCCGAAGAATATGTTCTGCAAGATTCTCTATTTTCTAACATCATAGTTGACAGTAGATTAGAAGACTGTTCAGACATGCATCTTTATATAACTGATACTTGGCGATTTGGTCTTTTGGTCTTCAGAGAACGTGATCAAAGATTTTGGCGATTTTCTCACCATCTATTCTACCCAGACCCGTTAGCTTCAAATTACACATTGCACGGACATAATTTTCAGTGGGCCGACGGTATTTTTGGGTTAGCATTAACACCTGTTAACCAATATCAAGAACGAATATTATATTTTCATTCCTTGTCAAGTTATAGAGAATTTTATGTTCATACAAACGTTCTCCGCGAGCCTTCTAGAGTAAACGACAGTGCAACAGAATTTAATCTAGTCGGAGAAAGCAGGGGATTATTCGGGCAATCGTCAGCGTCGGCCATCGACAGGCGAGGCGTTATGTTTTACGGTTTAGTGACAAGGGATAGTATTGGATGTTGGGATACGAAGAAACCCTATCATAAAAGAACTATGGGAATTGTGGCTACGAATACAGAGACTTTGGTATTCCCTAACGATGTAAAAATTGACCAGGAAAAGCGTCAAAGTTTATGGGTCATATCAAACAGGCTACCGATGTTTCAAGCAGAGAGCTTGAGTGATGACGATTACAACTATCGCATCATGTTTGCAGACACCATGGAGGCAGTGCAGGGTACAATTTGCGACCCATCGCTCGAATTATCCTCTCCTACTACGTTCATTCAGCGTTGGTTGCCATAGTACCTATATTTTCCTTCACAATTTTTATTAAAAGATCTTTTTTTGTATTTTGGCATTGTTTTAATTTACACTTATTTTATTTTCAATCGGGGTTGAATGAAGAAAATTTGAATGGAATAATTTGAAAGTAGCCGGTGGAAGGAAAAGGCGAGATCTCCCGCCGGGCAAGGTGTTCTGTCCGGGGAGCGGCCAACGCTCCGAGCGGTGGTTCGGAGCTATTCTATATAATATATTGCTTTAATTTCGGATCTTTGTTAGCGCGATTTAGGCTTCGATGTGTTTCGCTTGTGGCGCGACCACAGCGCCGCCACAAATAGAGTAATATATATTACAAACAATAATTTATTAACCCAAAAAAAGCTAAAGAGACATGACAATTTAAGAAATTATATTTGCACTTTATTTATTTATATTTATTTTATTTATTTATTTATATATATTTATTTTATTTATGTTGCATGCCTTAAGCGAAAGCGCAAGGTATGTTCTACTATCGCCTAAAAATTAAGATTTTTCTCTCAATTGTGGCATGTTTGGCAATTAGACATCACTCAGCTATCAAAGCCTATCAAAGTCCATTGTCGAACATAGACCTCTCCAAAAATTGTCTCTTAAGAGGGATACATGCCAAAGTTGCCACGCTTTGCAGGCGGGTTGGCAACGCTTTGTTTATCTTCTGGTTTGTTTCCTTCTGTCGCGTCTTACTAAATCCACAGGACGATAACTAGTAGCGCTGGTTTTCAGTGAGCCCGAACGGGCAGCAAAGTACAGACTTCCGCATGTGATACTAAAGTATAGTGACTGCCTCGTTGGTCCAGTGGTCGTAATCGCGATTGCTGTGCGTGAATTCTTGGGTTCGAACCCCGTTTGGGGCGAAATTTAGTAATTGGGTTTTTTTCTGTCAAGAAATTCTCAGAAACAGCTCGGAGTCAGGAAGTTGGCGGTGTTTCACCTTCGTAATACGGAAAGCACGTAAAGCCATAGGTCCTGCACCTGATCTCTCTCCAGTCGTGTTGTATTACCATCTCTTCGGCTTATTATGAGAGTGAAGGAGTATATAGTGCATATTCTCGGGCACTATAACCCTGTCCTACGCAGATGGCTAGTTCACGTTGTGACCGGCCACCGTGACCGAAATTCGGTCTGGAAGATATTATTATTAAAGTATATCATAATAAACTTGCTGATCAATTCGGATACCCGTGGTGAGTACAGGCAAATGTTCTAAAGAAAGTAGCTATCGCATTCTTGGAAAGGCGAAGCAGTTAATTTTTAAGAGACTGTGAATAAAAAAAAGATTTTTACGTTATTTATTATATTATAATTATGTAACGTTCAGTTCATTATTTACACGCTATTATGAAGAGTCAGAATGTGTCAAAGAAGGCACGTATGGTAATTCATAATGATGTGTTATTCCCTACTTTAATGTATGGTAGTGAAAGTTGGGTCTGGTAGAAGAAGCATGAGAGTAGAATAAAGGTTGTAGAAATGCGGTCATTAAGGAGTATGCTAGGGCTGAATCTGAATGACAGGGTGAGAAATAGTGTGATAAGAGTAAAGTGTGGTTTGCAAGATGACGTTTAAAAAAGGAATGCTTCGGTGGTTTGGTCACGTAGAAAGAATGAAGGAGGAAAGAGTGACAAAGCAAGTTTATGTTTCAGAAGTGAACGGCAAAGTCGGGAAGGGACGCCCTAGACGAAGATTTATCGACCAAATCGGCAATACATTGAAAATGGGCCAGATTAGGAGTACCCTTTACCGACGAGTGTGTATGCGTAGATATATGGATGTAAAGGAGGCGAGAGAGGTGTGTCAGAATCGCGCCAAATGGAAGTCCGTAGTCTCTGCCTACCCCTCTGGATGACAGGCGTGAGTGTTTGTATTTGTTGTATTTGCATTTTATCTATGGAACACAGTATGCCAGATAAAGGACAAAAGTTAGAAACTTAAAACGTGCGTAGTTGAGTGGGCAGTGGTGTTGGTGGTGCCCTGAGATTATTTATGGGTGGGTATATTCATTATAGAACCGATAAACAAAGCGATAGAAAACTATTGTACAATCACACTAGCTTATTTATACTAACATATACTCGTACACGTCAGCAGAATCTAGAGATATTTTATATTTCACCAAATATCTAAAAATCTGTGAAGAATTTTCTGATATAGTAAATGAAATAATGGTAGATTATATTAAGGTCTTTAATAAAAAATAAAAAAAAAGTTTCATAATTTTTTTTGTTTTAAATTATAATGTTAATTTTTTTTGATCGCCGTAGAAAATTAGTATGATAAAAAAACTTCCTTCCTTCTTATAAACTATTAATTTTAATTAAAATTGAAAAAAACTTATACGAGGACGACATTGAAAGTTTTAAGAACTGGCCACTTGTAAACGATATAATAAAAAAATAAGTTCAATTTATAAAATGGAACTCTTTGCCAATATTAATGTGTATGTATTTTATTAATTTGTCATTTGTTTACGATTTGGCGGCAAATTGAAAATTGTGTGTGTCACGTCACCATAAATATAACGCGAGAAAATTTTCGTACAATGATTTTTTATGACTTTCGATGTCATTTAAGACAACAAGAAAGTTATGATAGACTCCGATTGGCCATTCACGATGAAGGCCTATCTCGTGCCACTGTTTACAACTGGTTTAATGAGTTTAAACGTGATCGCAGTACCTTCACCGATGATCTGCGTGAGAGACGGCCTTCTTCGGCGACGACTGAAGATAACATCAGTGTTGTGCGGCGTATGATAGAGACTCTCAAAAGAGTGACTTATCAACAGATTCGGACCAGCTTAGGCATCCCTATGAGTCAAATGCACGAAATCCTCCATGAACATTTAGCGGTAGCGGTAGGAAGCTTTGTGCCCGATGAATACCTCATAATTTGGCAGGGGCCCAAAAACTCCGTCGTGTTGATTGGTGTCGTGAAATGGTTCAAATATTTAACGGAGGTGTCACAAATGCTGTTTTCGACATACTAACGGGTGAAAAGAAAGCTGGATTTAATGTTATGATCCTGAAACTAAGAGACTGTCTACCTATCTTAGTGTTACCTTCCGAGGAGTTGCCAACTAAAGTGAAGAGAGGTTGAAGCTTGGGAAAAAGATAGTGGTCTTGTTCATCGAAAGGACAGGTCATTACGCAACAATTGTTTTAGAGGATCGAAAAACAGCTACTACAGAGTGGAACACTAACAATTTTTGCCACTTGTCTTGGAAAAAGTTCGGGAGAAACGACCTTGCAGTAGGATCCTCCTTCACCATGACAACGCCTCGTCGCACATCGGCAAGCTAACAATCCACTACTTGGCGACGTCAGACGTGGAATTACTAGGTCACCCGACGTCGCACCTTGCGATTTTTATTTATTTCCGAAGATAAAAGAAAAACTTCGAGGAAAACGTTTTATGGAGGCCGTGGAAGCAGTGGCTGTGTTTCAAAATCCGTCGAAGAGACCCCTAAGGACGAGTGGGCAAAGTGCTTTTCTCAGTGGTTCCATCGGATGCAGCGATGTATTGATGTAAATGGAAACTATTTTGAAAATATATAATAAAATTAATAACTTGCTAGTATGTTCAGTTTTTGATTTTCTAAGAACGTTCAGTGTCACCCTCGTAATATCTAATTATTAATAATCAGTGTTGCCACCTCTTACATTAATTACACATCGACATCGAGTGTTCATACTTAAAATTAAATTGTAAATGTGTTGCTGCGGTATGAGGTCCCATGTTCTTTGCAAGTGTTCGTGAAATAGTTGTTCCGTTGTCAAATTTGGCGGGAAATCTCGCTCGCGAAAGCTTTTCGTTGTAACATGTCCCAGGCATGCTCGATAGGATTTAAATCGCGCGACTGTGCAGGTCAATCCAAAACTTGAATATTTTATACGTGGTAGAGGCATGCTGCAGCTATATTAATAGTATAGTTAATAATAATAACAATAGCTAATAATACCAGCGTAAAATAGCAACTTAAATCTGCTGTGTTTCGTATGGTGAGTGTAGAGAACCGGAGACCCTTTTTACTGGAAACGAGGCATTCCATCTTAGTCCTCACGGGTGACAACGCATCTGCATTTTGAATCGCAGACGTGGATAGATGTAGATGTCTATGGGCCACAGCAACCACTTAACAGGTGGACTGTGTGCTCGTTTGTCACCCTTATACTATAAAAAAAATTGTGGTCACGGAGAGCGGCCGTCACCAGCCGCGCCGTATGGAAAGGAGCATTATCGTGCATGAGTAGAAATTCCTTGCCCATTTGAATTCTGTTTGGGACAATAACAGGCTCTGCTACATCCTCGTGGTATTTTTGTGCAGTCATGCTGCCTTGAATGCAAACGAGCTGGGTTCGTCCGCCAAGAGAATTCCTGCTTACACCATCATTATCCCGCCTTGGTATGCATAGACCTCCTGAGGATGCCGTAGACGATTAACTCTCCCTGGAGTTCTCCAAATGCGTGTTCTTTTCGTGAAACCGAATGAAACTCAAACCGAGACGCATTGGTAAAGAGCACCAAAGACCACTGTTCGTCACTCCGTGGTTTTTTTTTTTTTTTTTTTTATAAGATAAGGGCGACAAACGAGCACACAGTCCACCCGACGGCAAGTGGTTGCTGCGGCCCATAGACATCTACATCCATCCTCGTTTGCGAATCAAAATGCAGATGCGTTGTCACCCGTGAGGACTAAGATGGAATGCCTCATTTCCAGTAAAAAGGGCCTCCGGCCACCTGCACTCACCAAACGAAATGCAGAGGTAAACCTCTACTTCACGCTGGTATTCTGTGAGGTCGTGGTACCACCCCGGTTCGAGCCCGCCCATCCGTGTGACAGCAAAAGCTGCCGCGTGGCTCTACCACTGTTGTGGTAAATATTTCCGAGCCCACGAAAGCCGCCAACCGCAATTGCCACGTCGCAATGCTGGAACACGTCCGTCTTCGAGCATGAAGACCAACTTTACGTGACCTCCTTC